CTCTACAATGTTAAGTGGGATACAGCATTTTTAATTATATCGGAAGCACAAATCCGCATGCTCTTCATTAACATTCTTGCGTAACAATTCACATTTCTCCGCATATCTGAATTGTCACAATTCTAGGTCGTGATTTCTTTCGAGAATAACTCATTGTTTTAGCAGCGTCAGGCGGTTACGTAAACAATGTTCAACATGTCCAAATCAAAGCCAGCCAATCCCTACGCGCACGCAATTCGACGCGCCGTTACATCTCCTGATGTTGAATGCAATTCCGATGTACGAGATCGCGCAAAACAGCCACGTCATAGCATTGCTGTTGTGCGAGTCCCACGTTTGCACGTGGCTTCATTATTTGACGCCCCTCTGTAATATTCGTAGTGTTCCAACACATGCCATCTGCAGTTATAAGGAGTTGTCGGCACTCAGTCGCTAAACGTGCGCGCAGCAATTAGACCTTGTAAACGATTCATACGTTTTGATTTAAAGCTTTCGTGACTGCAGGGATTCATCTTCTTGGTTCTTTCGGTAAAATCACGTAGAAGGGAAGTAATAAAATAATACAAATAAACCATGATAAAATAATTCTCACGAATTCTCACGACGTTTCGTGAGAATTATTGTATTATGTTTTATTTTTATTATTTTATTACTTCCCTTCTACGTGACTTTACCGAAAGAGCCAAGAAGATTCATACGTTCTCCGAGCGCGGTTTCTTTTTGGCCCTGTAGAAAGTGCCGTCCTGATTGCCTTTCCGATCAAATGAAATCAAAGTTCCTTTTCATTTCTCGTGGGCTCCCTTCACCACCCGAGAGTCTGTAAGTGGCTGCTAATCATGTAGAGGGGGTGGGCAAATGTCACGGGAACAAAGACAAACACATTTGCAGTACGTTGACGTTTAATATTTTTGCAATATTTATCGCTTACATTTTATGCAAGACGTACATTTTTACCGACCCATCCAAATCAGGTCTGGGAGCAAGATTGCAACTCTCGCTATTTTTTCCTCTAATTATTCTTGACTCTCTCGTATTAAATACACCACTTCCTTTATTCCACAGCTGTTACATAATCCCCAAGAGAGTTTTAGACAACTGCCGTGTAACCTCGGAGCAATGTGTTGTCGGATTCGCTCTTGGATGAGGTCCGCTGCCGTGGTGTGATGGTTAGCACACCAGACCTGCGATCGAGAGAGGTAGCAGTTCGACCTCCAGCCACGTTTCTTAAATCCCACACCCGCCCGCCCTGTGTCCATGCAGCAGTGTAAAGTGGGTTACCAGGTTACGTGTGGTTATGTAAAATGTTGGGTTACTCCTCAACTCTGCCGAGACATCAGGCCAGCGTGGAAGAGTAGGCCAAAATTCCCTCGAGGGATCATCTAGAGTTCCCTCCCTTACCACAGCGGTGGCGTGAGCAAGCAATTTAAAGGCTGCACCTCTCCCTATTGCTGTGTTTATATTTTTAAATCCCCATGAAGTGAGCTCGAATTCTGCAATGCGGCACTAAGCCTGAGATGAGCTGCACATAATGAGGTAGGTGGGACTTTTTTGACGTTGTTATATTGCAGAAACTCACTACGTTGAATTTCACTTAATTAGAAAACGTAACCGTCAACCTCGCGGTAAGAGTCTCGCACAAATTTAGTTCCAATATCACTGAAGCGAACACGCGATACGGTATTATGCAACGAAGCGTAAAGTTAATGCGTGTTCGATCAACTGTGCAGTTGTAACATTAACCTTGGGAGATGGGAAGTATTTCATGCATTATCTGTAGCTGTCACATCAGATACCAGGCACACGAACGCACTGGAAAAAAAACACTCCCAGCTCCTCTGACAACCTTTTAATTTTCCCATTGCCAATATACCCGTGCGGAAAGCCCCCAATCACGACCAAAATGAATAACGCGAATGTGTGTGTGGGACACTGTGTGTACGAACAATGTGTGTGTGAACAATGTGTGTGTGAACAATGTGTGTATGGAACAATGTGCATTAAATCTACCAAACAAGTGTCATGGGGCAGAACCACAGCCTTGGTTCATTCTATTTATTTTCACTATTTTTAGGAAGCGACCCGGCCACAAATGATATAGTCACGTGAACATTTATAGCAGTCAAATACTCCATACGCGTGTTTGTAAATGTGGATGGGGAAACTGGAGCACCCGGAGAAAAATCCACACAACCACGGGGAGGACATGCAAACTCCAAACATGCAGGTGTCAAGGTAGAGATCGAGGCCAGGCCCTCCTGTATGCCAGGACCTCCTGTATACCAGGCGACGTAGTTTACACATCGCCACCGTGCCTACTGTAAAGACTTGTTGATGTTGGCTACATTTGGTTGATTTGCAAGATTTGCCAGAAAAAATTCTGCTCAGCTTTTTTGCCTTTTATCTCATTGATGCAACCAAAGGAGAACCGTGCTTCGGTCAACGCCATCTCGAAGGAGCCATCTATCCCCGCAGTGTCCCACTGCGAGGTGGGCCAGTGAGACGAGAGTTTCTCCAAGTGGGCCTGCTGCCACGTTCCCACGGCCACTGGGAGAAGCAAGCCGGCATGCATTGCAAGCTGGGCACGTGGGCTCAGCCTGGATGACCGCGGTGTAGCCTCAACAGTTTAAGCCACCAACCCATTACGCCCTGACAACCTGCTGTGTAGCTCCCTTTCCGATGGGAGCCACACACTATTTTCTGGGTGGCGCGTAATAAAACAGTCAGAATTATAATCAATGTCAGGGCTGTGCTTTGTATCCAGAAAAATGTGTAAATTACAAGAATATTACATTTGAGCTTGGGATGGTGTAAATTAAGCAGAGCAGATATAAAACGTTGTTTTAAAACAATAGTGTTTCGTTTCTCTACGGCCACGGAAGCGAAGAGGAGGTGTGGGGCGCACAGAGCTGCTCGGCTTTCAAAGCGTTGGGATAAAAAACGAGCCCTGCTGGGGTTGTTTTTTGGAATGGCCCAGCACAGTATGGGCCTGCTTCCCAATTGTGGTGGAAACGCAGCAAAGTGAGCCGAATGAAAGGACCCAGTGCTACCTACTTTACAGCCGGACTGACCCAGGAATGGGTTGTCATCTCACGGGGTCAACGCAGAAACGAGGAGCCCGCGCCGTGACGTCAATGATCTTGCTCAGCCACGAGGCCCCGTTACGTTTTAAAACTGCGCAGGGGAGTGTTTTACCATTACAAAGTTTAAAAAAAAAATGAGTTCGCTTTCATTAAGCTTCGTCTCGAACGAAGATTTTTTTTTGCGTGAAAAGTTGCTGCCCGACCGTAGGGTTAGGGGAAGTGCGACAAGATGAGATGGGATGAGGCCATTGGGTTTGTGAGCAAATGACAGCCTGGCTCCGTTTCGGTCCTGTGCTGCCCGGGCACTAGCACAGGTCTGGGCCTGAGTACAGCTGCTCCTGGAAGCGTGGGTTGAACGGGCATCGCGCGCCCAGACGTTGGCACGCATTCGCCTGCACTTGAAAATCATTCCACGTGTTCTTTTACGCGCTCTGTCTGGCAGACGGGGCACGTCCGCCCATGAGAGCCGGCCTGCCGAGTTGGAAAAATGTTCCCGCTGCTCTTATCGTCACCAGATGCTAAAAGACCGGAGCTGACAACCGAGTCACAGAGAGCGAGCGGCGAGCAACAATGGAATTGAGTGGGCATGCGGGGATCCCAGGCCCATGCGCCCCACACAACGCCCCGTTTCGCCGTTGACTCCTTCCACGTCCCTACTCGCCAACAACTGTCGTAGCACGTTTTGAACTGTGATTTGACGGCACAAATGTAAATGTGCCAAATGTTGTCCGTTGCCATCGAATGACTTCATAGGCAAAGCCACGTACGAACAACATTGCCCCCCCCCCAACGCCGCCCCCCAGTCTAACACACTTCAGATTAGCACGGTTGGCTACGTACGTTGCGAAAGAAGTTCAACGTACGTACCTACCATGGACGTCCAGTTCACTATGGAAGTCCAGTTCACCATGGTAGTCCAGTTCACCATGGAAGTCAAGTTCACCATGGACGTCCAGTTTATCATGGAAGTCTAGTTCACCATGGAAGTCCAGTTCACCATGGAAGTCCAGTTCACCATGGAAGTCCAGTTCACCATGGGAGTCCAGTTGCCATGGACGTCCAGTTCACCATGGAAGTCCATTTCATCCATGGAAGTCCATTTCATCCATGGAAGTCCATTTCATCCATGGAAGTCCATTTCATCCATGGAAGTCCAGTTCACCATGGAAGTCCAGTTCACCATGGAAGTCCAGTTCAGAGTCCAGTTGCCATGGACGTCCAGTTCACCATGGAAGTCCAGTTTACCATGGAAGTCCAGTTCACCATGGAAGTCCAGTTCACCATGGAAGTCCAGTTCACCATGGAAGTCCAGTTCACCATGGGAGTCCAGTTGCCATGGACGTCCAGTTCACCATGGAAGTCCAGTTTACCATGAGAGTCCAGTTCACCATGGACAGGGGTAGGAGACCTGCGGAGTCCGGAGCCGTATGGGGCACATCAAGGACCGCTTCGTGGCTGTTATTCATGAAGGACCACCGCCATTTCATATTCAATCGCATTGATTACAGCTTTGTCTTTTTTGACTGAATCCGAAAAATAAAATGTCTCATCTTGTTATTTTGGTTGCCGACCCCCTGATGTCGCGTCTTAAGGAAGGCCGCACCATCGTAATGTGTGGCCCATTGGCCACTGGTTGCCGCTCTTGGTTGTATTTTTTTGCGTGTGATCCTTCAACCCATTATTAAATGGAATATAATTACCAGGTTTCAATTAAAGGAGTTGGGTGGGTAATTCACTCGTCCGATTCGAATCATCTGAGGAATTCTTGGTTTTTTTTTCTCTCCCCGAAATGGAGTTGTTTATGTTTGACAGTTGCTGCTGGCGAACGTGCATTGTGATGAGTGTGCTGGTGTTAAAGCAGGTGTCCGGATTGTATCTGGACAGAAGTCATGCCGTGTCTATTTTGACTCGAGACATATGCACTGCCCTAAAGTCATTTATTCAGCGACTTCGTATACATTTGAATCCCTCCCATCAGTTTCCCCAAACACTTTTTTTTACCGAATAAACAGCAACTCATACGAACTAAAAGTTAACTGGAAGTCTAGTTTTGCAATATATTTCTTCTTTAGTTTCATACCAACAAGTCGTATAACTATGACACGTCACAATGTGCAATATCTACACACTGTTATTCCTGCATTACTGACAACACTAAGCCAACGTTGTCTCACAAATTACAAAAGACATTACTTTTTGAGCGGTGCGGCACCCCAAAAGTTGAATACCCGATGGTGCCATATAAGATAATACAGCGTACACGATAGTGCGGCAAAATAGATTGTTCTATACTCACACGCCTATTACCCCACGCCTTCACCATTAAACTCTGACCGGCGTGGTGAAGTACAGTCAAATAACCTCCACAACCCGCACGGTGCTGGGGATGCCCTCATCCAGCAGTGGATCGACATGCACGTGTGCTATAGACAGTACTGTAGCGCTGCCGTTAGAAAAATAAATACCTTGGTTAGCCGGATCATCTGGCAGGCCGATGCGCTCAAATATTAGCGGGACATTTTAATTGTGCCACTCAAAGCGATGCCGAGCATACGAGCCCTGTGACGGATAAACCCACTCCGGCGCTCAGAAAAATGGAAGACAACGGGAGAAGGGGAAGACGACACAAATCAAGGTCGATATAACCTGCGGCGAAAACTCGAGAAGAACGGAACGAAGCAGCAAACGTTAGCTACAGAAGGAGAACCATGGGACCATGGGATGGGAGGGCGGTAGGGGGGGGGGGGATTTCGTTCGACCCCTATCGCCGGGAACGAGCTGACGGAAGGGGCAGATGACCACGACCATGACCACAACGACGACGATTAATCCACACGCTCACACGGCATTCACACTGCACGTGGGCGCAGCCTCCCTTGAGGGCGGCTTGCCGCTGCTTGCTCTAGAAGAGGCCGCAGTCCTTGAGGTTTTCCTTGATGATGATGTCGGTGACGGCGTCGAACACGAACTTGACGTTCTTGGTGTCGGTGGCGCACGTCATGTGTGAGTAGATCTCCTTGGACTCCTTGCGCATGTTCAGGTCGAGGAACTGCAGCTTGATGAAATTGCCCGCATCGTCGTAAGTGTTGGGCCCTGTTATGTGTGAAAGCGAACAGAAATGGGAGAAAAAAATCAATCATCTTGTAAGGCAGTGCACACCTGGAAAGTAACATTCCTCAGTCTCACATTTCAACTAACTGTCTTGATGTAGAGTATAAACAAGACTGCTGAAGAAGTTTGAGACGTGATGCAGTGGTTAGCGCGCCGGGTTCTGGAACTGGTTTGGCCATGTTTGTTTGTTGTAGTACAGAGTTAGACTGATGGCCTTAATCTAAGTTGTCTTGTGGTTGTTGTTGGTTGTTTGACTTGCATCCGACTGGGATTTTTGCACACAGCGTTGGTGTACGGTGTTTCTTTCTGCAATATTTTGCTGTCTTTTCTTGGATTTTCTGTTTGCACTCAGTTACATATTCACTTTAAGATGTTTTTTGTTCATGTTTTTGTTTTTTGTTTGTTGTGGTTGCACCCGATTCAAGAGCCGAATGGCTCACAGGGCTACACCTAATACATGAACTTGAACCTGAGTTGGATTCCTGGCCACACAGCTCGCATCAGTGGCGAGCAATATCTGAACTGGTTCTGAGATTCCCCGTTTCACCAAGCCGCACTGACCAGTATGATGAAGTATGGTCAAACTAACAACCCCCGTGACTGACACGGCATGTGGAGGCCTTCGTTCAGCAATGAATTGACAAGAGCTGTGACTAACCAGTATTATCAATACTCTTTGGTTCTTTCGGTAAAGACACGTAGTTAGAAAAAACTACTGAAATACTTCAGCAATACTTCAGCAGTTTTATCTTGCTGTGGTTGTCCCACCTGATGACGATTGCTTGTGTTGCGATCGAAACGTCGTGATCTATTATTTTTCTACCCACGTGACTTTACCGAAAGAACCAAAGAGTATGGATTCCTGCAGTCACGAAAGCTTCAAATCAAGATTATTATTAATGTTGATTATTCCAGTGAATATAGAGGCCTCAAGTGAAAAGAAACCATCTTTACACGCCCATAGCACGATCGTCGTAATCGATTTTGCTCGTCGAATCGATGCATTATTACACAACCCTTAATGGACATGCATACGTCTATGTGTGGGAAATCCACTTTCTTCCAACGTACAGCATACTTCGCTTACAAATCATCTGGGTATGGTAGTGCACACCAGTGGTTTAGCACTTTGGGAGTGAATCTCACGGATTTGCAAAACTCCCGAACCCGCTGGTGAGCTGGCCAAAGGAGAAGAGTACAGGAGAGTGGATCGTTGCATCCATCTGTGCGGTGCCTCGAGTGTTAATCGTTGTGTGTGCGTGTGTGGATTTTCGCCAGGTGCTTTGCTCCCTGCCCACACATCTTGAAACACTCATCAATGGAATCGGCCAAACATCGCGCGTCCGAAAGAAGCAAGTTGTCGGGTGTTTTTTCTTTCTTTCAGGATAAAAAAACCCGCGCAATCAGATCGAACGTTTATTTATTCCCTCCAGGACTCTCCTTAATTAACGAGTCTCCAGGGTCTGCCGTGCCGAGAGCTGTCAAAATCCACATTCGTTTGACCCCTGTCCTTCGTTGCTTTGCTCTCTCTCTCTCCCTCCCTGCCGGGCTCGGTGCTGCGGTGTGGTGCCGGTCGAGCCCTACCGTCGTAGTCGGGGAAGCAGATGCTGCGGTGTGTCCCGGTCGAACTCTACCGTCGTAGTCGGGGAAGCAGATGCTGCGGTGTGGTGCCGGTCGAACCCTACCGTCGTAGTCGGGGAAGCAGATGCTGCGGTGTGGTGCCGGTCGAGCCCTACCGTCGTAGTCGGGGAAGCAGATTCTGCGGTGTGGTGCCGGTCGAACCCTACCGTCGTAGTCGGGGAAGCAGATTCTGCGGTGTGTGCCGTCGAGCTAGTCGGGGAAGCAGATTCTGCGGTGTGGTGCCGGTCGAACCCTACCGTCGTAGTCGGGGAAGCAGATTCTGCGGTGTGGTGCCGGTCGAGCCCTACCGTCGTAGTCGGGGAAGCAGATTCTGCGGTGTGTGCCGGTCGAGCCCTACCGTCGTAATCGGGTAAGCAGATGCTGCGGTGTGGTGCCGGTCGAACCCTACCGTCGTAGTCGGGGAAGCAGATGCTGAGGTGAGCCTTCTTCACCTTCACCTCGAACAGATCCTTCTTGTTGAGGAAGAGCACGATGGAGGTGGCGTTGAAGTAGCGGTGGTTGCAGATGCTGTTGAAGAGGTGCAGGCTCTCGTGCATGCGGTTCTGTGTGACGCGCAAAGGCAAAAACAAAAACACAAAACAAAAAAATTACAAAGATTTCCCCCCCCCCCCCCCCCGTTATGGACTTTAATGAACCGGTGGGGCAAGTGCTGTTATTAATTGTTGTTGTTATTTATTGAACAAGAGCCCATTACAAAGTACGAGCGAGCGATGGGGGGGGGAGGTAAGGGGACGACAAGCCAGAGGCCATGTGCACACGGGGGTCAGGGAGGGAACGGGGATTGGGCTCACTGCCCCACTCACGCTGGGGCAACGATCGGGGACTTGGTCATGGAAGGAGAAGGTAGGAGAGAGAGAGAGGAGGGGGGGAGAGAGTATTCGCCCAAACAGGACCGAAAAATATAATAACATCCACACGTGCTGAGTGAGCGGCTACCTCATCATGCCTGTCCATGGGAGCGGGTTCGAGTGCTGTTAGCGAGCACCTATTAAGGCCACTGTGGGATGGCGGTGTGGCCGGAAACCACGCCCGGCCATCCTCGTCTCCCCAGCGGTGGCGTTTACAGACCACAGCAGGTAACTCGTTTTGGGGGCCAAACGAGTTACCGCACCGCGAGCGGTCGCAGTGGCATCCAGCTCACGGCGCGACAGCCACGTGCAGACTTTGACTTTTAAACCACTTTTATTGCCGCCAGCAGCAACAGCACTGGAGGCGATTCCGATATGAAATACAAGTCACCAGCAAACAAATGAAAACAAACGCTATAAATCCACGCGCTGTTGCGCTAAATGCACCGCGCACAACACGAAAGAAAAGCCACGTGGTGGTGGTGGTGGTTATCGCGCACGCCACGGTGACGAGCGAGCGCTTCAGAAGGTGAACACGAGGGTGCCGTCCACACTGGTACAGAGAGGGGCTTGTCCGGCTCCCCAGCGTTCGAAGAAGACGCGCACATCACCGACATGTGTGTGGTATGCGAAAGCAAAAAAGGTCCCCCCGTGGAGCCTTCAACAAGACGGTGCCGTGAACTTCGACGCGGACAGGCCTGCATCCAGCGGAGGGTAGATCACGACTGCTCACCACGAGTTCTGCGATGTCCTCGCCGTGGTCAAAACGCCTCAATCGTTAAATAAAAAAAGAGAAAGAGGACACGTGCTTCCAAACTCGCTGTCGGCGAGTTCAATCACCGCATCCACAAGCACGGACGCTGGCGGGCTTTCGGCTGCCAGCTTCCAGATTCGGCACCGTTCGCTGCTGGAGAATGATAAGTTAATGTCAAGCTGAGAAGAGAATTGTGTCTGGCGGTTTATGGACCTGTCCGCCTCCCTGCCTGCCCACATTTTATACCGCCTGCCATCTCGTATAATGGGTCTGTCTGCACATTTTCACCCCCCCCCCACCCCACTCCACCCCTTCTGAATTTGTGCGCATTCGAGTTTACAACTTTGCCTCTCCAAAAGTCAGCAGCCATTTCGTGGCTACTGACACAGTCTGTCGCACGCATTCGCCCGTCACTCATTTACCTGCTGCGTCCGTTTACAAAGACGGCGGTCACCGCATGCTGTGCGCGCGTTCGGGCGCGCTCCTGCGGCCGTCTGGAACGCTCTTCCATCCGATATCAGGAAGCCCACTGGAGCTATGCACTTTTAAATCATCATCTAGATGAACAAACTCGTTTCTTTAGAACTGCTCTTTGTGTTTAGTTTGTTGTCCTTCACCCGCACCTCCGATTTGCACGGTTGGCTACGTACGGTACGAAAGAAATTCAACGCACATACGTGTACGTGTCATAAGTATTATTGACAAGCGAATGGTTTACTTACAGTCCAAGTCTTTGTTGCGGCCAAATAACGAGTGTGAAAAATAATGTTTTACACTGGCAATAAAACAGGCGTTAAGATGTTCAAACACCAAATAGAATCCTTTTGCAGGGAAACAGGTCTGTATTATCCACACATACTTGTGGTGAACATGCAAACAAACATGCTCTGATAATATTTGCGTTGTCTTTGAAACTGATTGGCCTACACCAGAGACAGCCTTCTCACCAGTGTCAGACCAGAGAACACCAAAATGCGAACAGTACAAAGACAATGCACGTATCAGAGCATGATGTCTTTTTGTTTCTATAACGAGTGCCTTTTACGCACGGATACTGCGTGAAAGTAGGACAGACGTAAAAAAAAAATGTAACGCACGGAACGCAAATTTTAACGTAACGGTTCGTAAAATATTCATGCCGCCCTTGTTTTATTTGAAGTCTTCGGAAGAAAACACTAATGCTGCTCACTCTCGGAAAAAATATGGTGCAGTCATACGGATGACTATTCCGTGGCAGCTGTACTAATCATGAGGTGGCGGGGATAGAAATATAAAGGAAAAAACGCTGACTACAGCTTCAAAAAAAATACTAAAGCCAGCCATCAATCACGTGGCAGAGAAAAGTGAAAAATGAATGCTAAGTGGGCCATGGAATATGACCTTGTATTTTACCCAGATTTATGAAAACGGGTTCCAAACGTTCTTCAACCCTGATCTATCGGGACGTGTGCCTCGCCACACCGCTGAGCATCACTGTGGAAAATGATTCAAGGACGCGAGCCCCCCTTTCTTTCTGACCTTAAATCCCCGAAAGAATGCGAGGGCACTGAAATTGCAACAGGATTTGAAAACAATCCAAATGTGGAAGTTTTAACCTCAAGATATTTTCCGTAAAAAATGATATTTTTTTGCAACGGTTTTTTGTTCTTAGGAAACCGACTGCAAGGTTTACCGTTAAAGCAGATGTGTTAACTACTTCGCCTGGTATACAGGAGGTCGTGGGTTTGATCCCAACCCTGACGCCTGTTGTATATTTGGAATTTGCGTGTTTTCCCCGTGGTCATGTGGATTTTTTCCGGGTCCTCCGGTTTTTCCCTCCACATTTAGAAACATGCGTTGAGAGTATTTGACTGCTATACATCTCCATCTGCTGATAAGCCACTCCGTTGAGCTTTCATTTGTGGCCAGGTCGCTTCTGAAAAAGAGCTACATAACTCAGTGGGCTTTATCTGGTGAAATAAAATAAAATCGTTTGTTAGTTAGTATTCTTGAAAGCACAGTTTAATCCGTGAAAGCACAAAGTACACAAGTGGGGTTACTAGTAGGATGCTGTACAGCAGGATGCTGCCCTACTCATCTGTACGGCCTTTGAGTGCTCCCCTTAATAATTGTTGTTGATGCTCTAACCTTTCCCCCCAAATTCTGTCCCAATTGCGCTATTGGTTGTAATGGCACGAGACCAAGTATCTATTCACACACCGAGCAAGTGCGATTATTTTTTTACTCATTGATTTTATTCTGACAAAAAATGCGAGCCAAACTATGGACCACATGATGAATTCCTTGAGAGGAGGACATGAAATCGTCTAATGCTCTCTCGTCGTGGATAACAGACCTCGACATTGGCACTTAGCTCCTAAACATATTGCTGACATGCGCCAGACGAGAATAGAAAATAATTCTGGAAAAATTCAAGGGAAACCAATACTTAAAGGAATTGGCTTTATACATGAGTGGGGCTTTTCTGGATAATGAACGAATGCTTCCGAATGTTTCTGAGAACACAACGGCTTTCCAAATTTGTGCACTCCCATCACGGTGACATCCACGGAAGCGAGATTTTTTGCGGTATTCCCAATGCAGCTGCGATTTGGGATTACTGGCTCCATCGGAATTCCCCAATTAGCAACGGTTTTTGAATACTTTTGGGACTACGGTGCCACATAATTCAAGTCGTGGGGCCATGGTAATGGCAGTTAGACATCCACATTTACAGACCTCCACGTAAATTCCCAGCAGCGTTTCCCGTGGCCTCTTGTGTCAGAAAAGCAGACCGGTTTGCATCTCAAAACAGAAATACATATTAATTTTAGTAACGTTTTGTCGCAAGGTGTATATAAAAAAACGTAAATTATTCATTCTAAACTATGTTTTATATCAAATTAGGCATTTACTATTGTTCATAAAGTGCTGTTATTTGGCATGAGCCAAACGAGATACGGTTCGTTTGCTGAATTAACTAATTTTGCCGAATTTATCACCAGAATTCCAGCACATGCAATTATCATCCGCACCTTGCATAACGGACGCTGGTTTACTTTTGTGCGTCATCATTAGCAGTAGCCATGATGAACCTACTGCTGGATGAAGGCCTCTCAAAGCCTCCAAAACGTCTCAGGATCTTGCGACGCACTTAGTCCACCGAGCACCGGCACGTGAGCTGACTTCATCACGGCGGACGTCCTCGCAAGAGGCGTTCCGTTCCTTGGCTACCACTCCACGACCATACTACACCATCGGTCCACGATCCCTCCTAGCCGCGACATATCCCGAGCACAACCCCACTCGCTCTTCCTAACAGTTTGAACCTCCTCCGTACGATCTCCAATCCACGTGTTCCTCTTTGGCACAGCAGTCCGGTGAATATTTTAATGCTTGACACCGGCACGGTGACTTGGTACCGTGGGTGTCCGTCAAGGGTTCACACATTAATATTCCATTTCGTCATCAATGGAATCGTAGGAGCGAGCAAACACCTGTCAATAAGCAATTTCTCCGCAGCTGTGCGCTCAATATTTTATTAATAAAGCTGCCCTTTACTGCCAAGCGCTCGGTGGGATTGCCGATCTCCGGTCAAGAGCGTGGTGCTCCCACCCCCACCCCTCCTGCATCCTGGGGGTTAAAATCCACAGGGGCAGTGCAGCACATCCGAGTCCGTGCGAATCCAAACAGAGGCAGATAGTGCACGCCACAGGTGAAGTAGTGAGTCCAGTTGCCACCTTTGAGGTACAACAACAACATCACTATGGGAACCTCATTTGCCAGTAAAAATATGATAATTGTTTTTTTACCCTTCTATCTGGCAACAAAACTGACACCTTTTTTACAAGGAGTCATGTTTGCATAGACCACAATACCTGCAATAATGCAAACAAAAAACATAACTCTGATAATATATGCACTGTCCTTGAAGTTGATAGGTCCACGCCCGAGACAGCTT